ACTCCCCAGATGTCCCCAACAGCCAGGGCTGGGTCAGGAACGCCATCCAACTCTCCCATGTGGGTGGCAGGAACCCAACTAATTGGACCATCATTTGCTGTCTCCAACGTGCATTAGCAGGAAGATGGATCAGAAGCAAAGCAGCCAGGACTCAAATCTGTACTCTGATATGACATGTAGGAGTTCCATGCCTTGAGTTAGTCCACTGCAAAACAACGCCCAGCTCATGCATGTTTTTAATTGTGTGTGTTGTGAGTCTTAACCAGCTGATGTAATAAGACTTGAAAAATATTGGTTAAAACTACAAAAAGCTTTGGTTTGAATGTCAAAAATTTTCTGCTAGTTAAAGTAAAAATGGAGCAACATGTTCACAGTCCTCATTTAAGCTGTTATTCTCTGGTTATTTAAATATGTACGTAAAAATTTCTTCTAAACTAAGAATTATATATTAAGTAACTATTTTAAGGAGATGATTTCAGATGCTGAAAAGGAATTTCTGAATCATATATAATATTAAGTGTTTGTGTTTGTTTTGAGAAGTGAGGTTGGAAGTGAGGTTGGCCTGTATAAGATTTGTTCACTTTGGATTTTGCTTAGAATATGGAAATGAACAGGTGGGTGAAAATAATTGAATAATTTATTTGATGGTGTTTATTATTAAATATTTATTAGATTATAATTTATTATATTTACATGTGCCCTGTTTCACTTGCATATGTTTAATGCATTTTGGAAATATGGTGAAAAAATAAATTAATCTATGTTAAAACGTGGCACGGAGAGTTCTTTAGAGCAGGTGCAATTATTTAACATTTTCTGAAGAACACATTTTTAATCTTTTTACTCATGATAATATTACTCAAATCCTCTCTTAGCAGACTTAGAGAACTCAGTTTAGACATATTCTATGTAATTTGTGCAGTGTGTAATTTCTCACATGAGACCTGCTTGAGTTTATGCATTTAATAATAGTATATAAAATAACATAAGAAAATGGCTTTATGTAATACAGTGATTTCTAAGTTTTATTATCTAACATTATTAAAACCTTAAGTAATTTCTGAATTGAATAATATCAGTAATATGACACTAATGTGACTACTTGGCAGCGCAGTGGGGGAAGAACTGAACTGTTAAGAATCTAAGTTTTTTGCCCTGGATGTCATTCAGTGACTCACAGACTTGGGGTAAGGAACTCAATCATTCCCTGGTTGAGTTCACCAAGCCTCTATCTTGATTGTGTGTGTGTGTATTTGTGTGTGTGTGTATGTGAGTGAGGGGGTCCTCAAAAAGTCTGTAGAAAATACATATTAAAAAGGAACTATGCGGACTGGTGCTGTGGCTCACTTGGCTAATCCTCCTCCTGCGGTGTCGACACCCCAGGTTCTAGTCCCGGTTGGGGTGCCAGGTGCTAGTCCTGGTTGCTCCTCTTCCAGTCCAGCTCTGTGCTGTGGCCTGAGAGGGCAGCAGAGGATGGCCCAAGTGCTTGGGTCCCTGCACCCGCATGGGAGACCAGGAGGAAGCACCTGGCTCCTGGCTTCAGATTGGCGCAGTGCCGGCCGTGGTGGCCATTAGGGGAGTGAACCAACGGAAGGAAGACCTTTCTCTCTGTCTCTCTCTCACTGTCTGTAACTTTCTCTCTGTCTCTCTCTCTCACTGTCTAACTCTGCATGTCAAAAAAAAAAAAAAAAAGGAACTATGCATATCTTTGAAAAATTTGTTGCACCAAAATAAACTTTTCTAATTCCATTTTTCCACAAACTCTTTGAAGTGCCCTGGATTCAGAATACTTTCAAAATTGTTTTTCAGTGCAAAACATGAAAGTCGAGACTCTATACAGATCTTCAAACAGAAAGAACTGGATCACTGTGATAAGGATTATTTGAGGGAGTCAGTCTCTGAATCCAGATGTTTAGGAAGTATCCTCTAAATGTCCAAGTGTGAAAGGGACAAGACTATATTCAAAACATTCATTGTGCTCATGGAAATTGCTGAAAAAAATAACTTTCTACAAGATTTATCTTAAAAGTTGAAGAACTGGATAGTGGGCAAAAATGTGAACGGGCACTTGCTTCCCTCTCTTGGCCTCTGAGGCCATTCTTCCTGCTGCATGGCCTTCAATTTGGCATTGAAATGCGTGCGAAGTATGGAGGTGGTGGAGTGTGTGGCAGGGGAGGACCTGGAGCCCTGGAGAAGACAAAGTAAAGATGCAAGGCAGCGGTGGGGGAGGGAACTGATGAGTGGTGTGTCTGCAAGCTGATGGACTTCATCAGGTTCACACTGCTGAATCCCGGTCTCCGTCACTGTTAGGATGTGTCTCCACTCCCTGATGTTCATTCGCTTTGTATCTGGCTTAGAGGGGACAGTGCCTTGACAAACTGGACCAGGAAGGGCATTGCTATTTCCACCCTAGCCCCTGGGACTGGATCTTAGCCATTGTGTTACTTGGTTATCAGGTATTTGCAGTAAACTTTGTGAGTTTCTGAATAAGAGTAGAGGCAGAAAACCTGATGGAACAGATTTCATGACAGTCTTGAAGGAAAACTGGTGATAAGCCAAGCTTGGTTTGGGCCTTAAGAACTTGCAACTGGAGAGAAGGTCATGGCTGCCAATCTTTGCTGGAGCCTCCAGGGTAAGAGGTCAAATGGAGGCCCACAAACTTTCTTCATTTGTTCAGTGATGAAATCTTTATTTGGAAAGAATCAGGTTGCCAAGGGAGTTTCGTCTGACCTGTTCAAGTTGTAGATTTGGTGAGGTTCATTTTCTGGCTTATTCTTATTGTTTTGAATAGTAATTAAGTCTTCATTAAATAAAGAATGTGCAGTGACCTGTTGGTGAATTTTTTGTGGTCGTATTTGACACGTGCTGTTTATTTTTATTGTTTGCAGCTTTAAAATTTAAGTAGACTGACTGCTTTTAGAGTTTCCAATGTTGTTTTTTTCTTTTTGAATTTTTGAACTCTAAAAGAGAAGATACAAGCAGTTTTCAAAGAGTTTATGGAAAAATCATATGGGAAAACTATGTGTTGTTTCAACATTCTTCATGTCAAAATGAACTTGTATTTTAATTTCATGTTCCATGAACTTTTTGAAGTGTCTTTGCACATATGCCAAATTCTCAACTTGTACTCATTCTCAGTGACCTAAGGGATTAAAAAGAAAATTTAATTGCCTTCAAAGTATACAAAATATCAATATATTTTAATTTAAATTAGAATTTATTTAAAAATTTAGATTAGAATAAATGTCAAAATTCATAAACTGTTTCTTATAAAATGTTTATTTAATGCATGTGTTTGTGTTGTGGAATTTCTAACACATGGTACCCAAACTTACATGTTAAAATTAAAAGACAATTAAATTTGTTATATTAAATAAATAAAACATCCTAAATCCCAAATTATGTAGATACTGTGAAGCTTTGAAATATAGTTTTTGGAAATTTAATTAAGCCCTCAATTATGTTTACAGATGTAAAACTATTTCTAGGTTTAGGTTTTTTCTAGGTTTAGTGTAAAATGCCCATGAAGAATGGGCCTCATATTTCATTCTATTTATATCTTTCAAATGTAAGACTAAGAAGAATTGCTTAATAGCAAAATGTTGTTCAGGTGCCATTTGTGATTTTTCAAAAGACTGCATGAATTCGCAAATAATTCTAGAACCATTGAACAAGAGCACTAGGAGAAATAAGAAAATGGATACTTGGCATACCTGTTATGCAAGAATCATGCCATTCAAGAAAAATAACTGGGTACTATTTCATTTCCTTTTTGTAAGCACTAATGCTACTTAGTTCTTCTCTTCTTTTGAAATGGTGTCTCCAGACTGTGCAGTGTCACAGCCCATGACCCTTCAGGGCATCCTAACTCAGTCATCTCAGTGCAAAATAGATTGGGAAACAAGCATTTCCTTGAGGACCCTCAATTGTTGAACTTAAGTTTAGAGTTATGGGACATCTAAATGGCAGCGATGATAGTGTCTCATATATTTTCCAATAAATTTATTTCTTGTGTTTGTTTGGGTTAAGGAATTTCTAACACATTGGGACCCAAGGCAAAAATAACCCTCCTGGCTGGGGGCACATGTGGGCATCAGCATTCTCACTGCAGAACCATCTGCACAAGTAGTAGAAGGGTTCCTTCCTGCGGCCACTAGGGGGAGCTAGCGCAGGAAGGAAGAAATGGCAGATAGTGGTGTGAGCAGCTGTCAGGCTGCCGGTGGGCTCTTTTAAGTCTCACTTGCTTGAATCCTAGGAATACTTACTTGGCTTGACTGACTTTCTAAGGAGAGTGGGGAGGTCCCGAGTGAGCAGGTGGGGCTGATATGGAAACTGTGGCTAATTGGTGCTACAGCCAATTCATACGTATTTGCTGTAAGCTGGTAGCTTGGTAGTGTCTGAGTAACTTATTTCCAAGTCAGTAAATGCCCCCTCCCTCTGTGGGGTCGGGATGAGGAAAGACACGTCTGTCCTGTAAATCTGTTTTTCTACACACAGTTGGAAAAGAGAGGGATAGTTTTATTTCTCTTTGTGAGTATTCTCTGTGGAGGAAGCCAGGGACACAATTTAATCATTCATCTTGGATGATTGAAATTACAGTGGGATTTACTATTTACCCTAGATGGAGGATCTTAACCACAGATGGACAGAATTCAGAGAATTTTGTTGAGAACAGAAAAACCTTGTTTTTTTACTCATTGCTAAGTGAACTTCAGCTCTCTCTTTGTAATTAATGAAGGCAACAAATGACAGGAGTAGTTTCAGCAGTGCCTATGACTTTGTCCCCAGTGGAAATCAAAGATGATTTCATAGCACATTACTTTTGTGGCTAATATCCCAGAGTACCTTTATGATTGTGACTACTCAGAATAATGGTGGGTTTTTAGCTTATTTCCCATGATTAACAAAGAACCACATGTATTACTGTCTACAAGACTGCCTAACTATTTTTGAGATAACTATTTCAGCATAATTGGTTTTCTTTATAATCCAATGTACTGATCCTTTTTGTAGTTCGTAAGTGTGATGACTGGATTGTATACATGTCTGTGTGAGATGTGCCTCCCTCTACACCTTGTCATGACATCAGCACATGACCCATATGACATGAAACAAATAATCTAATGTATTTTGTTTTACACAGTTGCAAGCGTTGGGCCTTACAGCAAGCACATTGGGGAGCTCCAACCTAGATTAAATCCCATGCTCTGGCTGTGAAGATTAAGTTCTTACAGTGCGTAGCTTACTTAAGGTGGAACAGGAATTAAGAGTGGTGTCCTTCCTTCACTGTGTGGCCTCCTGGCAGCTCAAAACTGATTTTAGTGCTAGAGGAATGAGTGCCTTTCTCTCTCTTTATTTCATTTTATTTTATTTATTTGAAAGGCAGAATGACAGAGAGAGGGTGAGAGAGAAACAGCTAGGGCTAGACCAGGCTGAAGCCAGAACCCCATCTGAGTCTTCCATGTGGGTGTCAGTGACCCAAATACTGGGGCTATCATCTGCTGGCTTCCCAGGCACATTAGCAGGAAGCTGATTGAGAATCCGAGTAGCTGAGACTCGAAATGGCCCTCTGATATGGGCTAAGAGTGTCCTAAGCAGCGGCTCAAACCACTGCACTGCAATGCCCGTTCTGCATTTTTTCTTTTTCAACACAAGCTTTGATGATGACGAAGACCAGGTCAGCTTCCTTTGTCTATCTTTGGCCTGCAGTGCCTTCTATCCTCCTCTCTTTTCCAGAACCCGTAGCAGTGGTGAGTGAGGTGTAAACACCTCCAGCAGAGCCTGCCCCTATATCCTGCAGCAATCCACATTGTGTTGTCTTAGCACAACGGAGGAGGTCAGCAGAAAAGAGAATGTTTAATGCTGATTACCAGACCTGGTTTTACTGGTATTATCTCTGGCAATAGGACATATCCTCACACTCTAGGGAAATCTCCCAGCCAACCCAGTGGGCTTTCTTAGTGTAATGCAGAAGTCCTCTCACATTATTTCCTCCTTACTTTCAGATTAACATGTGCCTGAAATATCAACAGAAAGGTATAGAATTAATGGCTAACATTCATGGTTCACTTCCTTAGGCTACTGAAAGCCCTGTTTCTCTGAATGATTCTAAAACTTAGTTTTATCCCCACGTTACAGACAAGAACATGGAAACAGAGATGTAAGCTGTCTCATGTTATTTGCATTTTTAGCAAATGGCAGAGATGGACTGAAGGCCAGTCTTCTGGCTCTGAGTTACATGTCCACTTATGGCCTCCGTGCCTCACACCACCACAGTTTGTCCAGTCTCTGTCTTTGGTTTGGGGTTGTACTAGGAACATAGAGCCTTTAGATTTTTTTTTTTTTTTTGATGTCTTTTCAGTCTCGCAGAGCTGTGGATTTGGTTCAATATCTCTTCAACTTTAACCCCTGGCTGGTATGTACACTAGTGATACAGGGAAGGAAACCCACATTCCTATGCACGAAGTTTAGCAGTGACGCAAACTGCTGGATTTGGATCCATTTTGAGGATGTGACTATGCTTTGATCTTTGGTCTTGAAATCTTGTGAGCCACTGTGACAAGTACACCTTTGAAAATTGGTATCTGAATTCTTGTGCGTTGAAAAAAAAAAAGGATGTTTGTATGTGCTTCTCTTCTCCATCACTTGTTGGCATTGTACCAACTCGTTAGAAGTTTGAAAATCCAAGTGCTGGCTGAGAAGCTAAGCTTGCTGTGACCAGTTGTGCACAGATGGCCAGATTCTTTCTGGCATCAGCGTGAGAGGCGCTCATGGGCCGCATCCATGGGGTTAGGAGGTGGACAGTGCTGCCTGGGCTCCTGGGATACTGGGCATGCCCAGTACAGTATTTTGTAGGGTGAGACAGATGGAACAGCTCAAACGAAAGTGATGAGGGAGAGGAGAAAGTGAAGAAAAGTAGAAAAAGGGCACTGGATTTTCTAATTCATGTTGCAGAAGTGAATTTCAGTTTCTGTAATTGACTAATAAATGCTGTGTTGCTCTAAGACTCTGATTCATTGACAGACAGAACTGAGTAATTGGCAGGGAGCAAACTCTTCCTTTAGGGATGCACTCCCAAATGCCTCCAACTCTGGAAATGTTTCGGCCTTTGGAAGACATAAAAATACATGTGGATTTTTCAGAGTAAGAGACATACCACTGACAGTACCAACCAAAGCAGAAAAATCCCTAACTTCGTTAAACTCACGCCTACACACACACACACACACACACACACGGGTTGTTCAAAAAGTTAATGAAAAATGGAATTAAGAGATGTTTATGGGGCCAGTGCTGTAGCATAGAAGGTTAAGCCTCCGTCTGGAGTGCCAGCATCCCACATGGGCACCAGTTCAAGTCCCTGCTGCTCCACTTGCAGACCGGCTTCCTGCTAATGCTCCTGAGAAAGCAACAGAGGATGGCCCAAGTGCTTGGGCCCCTGAACTCATGTGGGTGACCCAGAGGAAGCTCCGGGCTGCTGGCTTCAGCCTGGCCCAGCCCCAGCTGTTGCGGCCACCTGGGGAGTGAACCAGCAGATGGAACTCTTTTTTACTCTCCTTTCTCTCTCCTCTCTCTGTATCTCTGCTTTTCAAATAAATAAATCAATCTTTTTTTACAAAAAGAAATATTTATGATTATTTTGGTGCAAATTTGAGATCCATGTATAGTTGTTTCATAATATGCATTTTCTGTGAACATTTTGAAGGGATAAATTTTAAATTTTTCACACCAATATAGATTTATCTGTTAAATCTCTAATTTTTGCAGTACCTTCGTGTGTCTGTGTGTGTATGTGTGTTGGAGGGTGGGGAGTGCTCCTGGTGACGCAGTTGTGATAAGGACAATTAATCAGCCTTCGTACAGCTGGTTCCTGACATTTCTGCAAATTGTTGTGGAAAAATTAATGAAGGTTAGATCAGTAATGGTTTCAAGCTTGGCCAGTGGAAAGTATGACAATGTTTCCATCAGCAATTAAATCGGGCTGCTTTCTTTTTTCTATAGGGGAAGTGGTGGGATGTGTGTTCTCCACAGGAAATGGAAAAAGGGCAGCTGAACTGAGTGTGAGCCCAGGTATGGCAGGCGCTCACTCCTGGATTGGCACCACACATTTGCATCTCCTGCCAGAAGGATTGTGTTATGCAACACAGAGAAATCCTTGTTAGAAAGAGTGCGAGGAGGTTGGGATTTTACGGGTCTGCTGTTTCAGAAACACAGATTCGCTTTGAATTTGCACATTGGGAACCAGAAAGTGGAACTTATGACAAACAGAAAGTGAAACTCACCTATCTAATTTTATTTTTCAGGCTGAAGGTAGTTGAGTCCAGACCCTGTTCACATCCTGTGTAACCCTATGGGATTTTCCCCAGTATTAGTTAAAAATTTTCCCATAGGGTCACACAGGATGTGAATGAAAGTAAACACTTAACCAGCACGATGAAAAGGAAATTAGCTTTCTAAATGGTCCTTTCACTGTTAACATCCTGAGTAGTTATTAGTAACATGGGTAACGCTCACTTCAGTGTCTCATTATCAAGTTGTTACATTATTAATAGAATTATTAATCTTCTTCCCCATTATGTATGAGATGTATTTCTCATACATGAAATTAAATTTTACACTTGTACTTTTCAGAAAACTAAAAAGCCTGGCAACATTCTCTGTTAGATCAGTTTAATTCTTAGCCATTTTGGGAAGAGAGGTTCATAGACCCTTTTAAGACTCAGAAAAACTCCTGATCTTTCAACCAGGAACATGCATAGAGATACAACCTTGGAAGTTTCACATCTTGTAAATGACCTTGGACCCCAGGCGTCTTTCAAAGAACTGGGTTTTAGAAGCTTTTTATGTGGGAAATAGCTACAACTATAAAATGTCAATTCGTTAGAAGTAAAGATTTCATAAAAAAGGTACTTTTGGAGAAACTGTAACTTGTCACAATAATGATTCTTCCCAGTTTTATTTTCAAAAAATACTCCCTCTCTGGAAGGGGGCTTGTACATTGGACAAAGGTTATATTTGAAGCTATTTGGTGACATTCTTTTTTTTAATTTTTTTTTTTTATTTGAGACAGAGAGAAAGGTCTTCCTTCCATTGGTTCACCCCCTAAATGGCCACTATGGCCAGAACTACGCCGATTGGAAGCCAGGAGCCAGGTGCTTCCTCCTGGTCTCCCATGGGGGTGTGGGCGCCCAAGCACTTGGGCCATCCTCCACTGCCTTCCTGGGCCACAGCAGAGAGCTGGACTGGAAGAGGAGCAACCGGGACTAGAACCCTGCACCCATATGGGATGCCGGTGCTGTAGGCGGAGGATTAACCAAGTGAGCCACGGCACCGGCCCCTTGGTGACATTCTAACAAGTGAAGTTAGTTGTCATGCCTCAGTTATTCCATCTTCAATGTGATGGCAACAGTGAGGTAATGTGTGACTTGTGTCTGGGAAGTAGTTCACACTATATATGAGGACCTTCAGAAAGTTCAGGGAAAAAGTATATTATGAAAAACAATCACTGTGGATTTCAAAAAATCTTTTGCACTAATATAAACTTACCTTTTAACTCTATTACTGTGAATATTTTGATGTGACTTTGTATGTGTGCACTTCACGCACACACACACACACATCCATCTCTTCCCTTATTTTCTTCCAATTTTGAGATCTAGTTTAAGTGTCACTTTCTTGCAAATCATTTCACAACTCCTCAAGGCAGATTTTTTTCTCTGCTTTCCCTAGATGTTTCTCTGTCATTTTATGAATTTTGTTACTCTTATAATTATGTTATCATTTGTTGTTTCCATCTCAGAATGTGAGGATCTTGTACTTATGAGTGATGTTTTATTTATCTCTATCCACGTGCTTTCTAGCGTAGTGCTTAAAACCCATAGGAACTGCCTGTTTGTTAAATTTACTAATCTAATGCTTATAAGAAATGAAGTCATGTAGATCTGAACTTGTGATTATCATTAGATTGATGTGGTAGGGGGTCATCTCCTAACAGGTGCAGTGATTAGTGCACAGCCAAGGTGAAATTTAGAGAACAGAGTGTTTACTGAAAGTGCATTTTTTTCTAACTTTGGCTACAACGATGGATTCCAAACCAGAGCCACAGGA